TGGGGGGCTGCCCCAGGCTGTTTTGAAACAGGTGCGGGATTAATTAAAGCACGTTTTTGCAACGTTTGACTTGAAAGCAAGCACCGTGCAGTCGAGTGGGGCTTTGGAAACTCGGGCAACGGGGAGCTCCTTTCTGGGGCTCGTGCCGACGGAGCCCAGAGCCAACGGTCCGTGCTGAGAACAGTGCATCCACAAGAGGCGGTGAGTGTGGTGCATCGAAGGCATTTGGAAACTCGGGCAACGGGGGACTCATAAGTGGGTTCGTGCCGACGGAGCCCAGAGCCAACTGCCTGGAGGGGGAGTCCTGGTCTACAAGGCAAAAAAGAAGCTATGGAGCCACCAACAGTGGGGGCCCAAGAAGACGACAGGGAGAACGACGACCTCACAACGGACAGGAGGAGCCACAGCCGACGCGCCGACGACGAAGACTGCGCAGCGCCGCCGGGGACTGCCACAGCAACAACCGGTGCTGAGGAGGAAGGGGGAGACGAAGTGAGCCCGAGTGAGCAGCACAACCGCCGTTGCCTTGAAAGCCCTAGCTCCCTGGATAACGACGACTGATGCTTGGTCCTCTCCTTTTCCAGTGTTTTGTCGGGTGCCTTCCGGGGTGCAGTTTGCTTGAAGACTTCAGCCGGGGAGCCAGCGCTAGGAGAGAGTGCAGCCACTGTGTGCGAAGCTAGCCTGAGGGCCGTAAAATCCTCATTTAAGGGGGAGCTACTGCAGTAGTGCCGTGACACAGCCTTTCATGAGTGCAGTTCTCAACAGACCCCAAACTGAGGGGCACAGTGCCCAAAAACATTGGGGCTATACCGCGGTGGTTGAAACGTGAGCCCTACGACAGCCATAGGGGCGCGGAGATGAGGCCTGGGGGTTGCTAGGCTACAGGGTCGGGGGCTCACAACACAACCAACTGTGACAAACTTTGTCCAATACTGCCTCGGTCAGTGACGACCCCAAAGCCGACCACTCAATAGTAAAAAAGGTGGTCGGGCGGGCCAATGGCCTGAGGGTCCCGCAAACGGACCCCTACGCCCGGCAGAAAGAAAAAAAAGATTTTGCTGCTAGGAACGTGCCCTTCTGTTCACATATTTCCAAGCATGTGGCCACGGACGGGAACATGGTCTAAAGTTGTCGTACCTGGGGTCCACGAGTGCTGCAAGAGAAAACGTAAGCGTTTGTCAGCTTTCTTGTCTGATTAGAATGAACATATTGCCAGGGCACCGGCTTCGCTCAGAGGTGATTCTGGAAAGACATCTGAAGGGTTTATCAAAAAAGGGGTGCCCTCGCCTGCTGGCCATAAGTCCGTCTGTTGCACCTAAGGATTCCGGATGTGACGAAGTGGTGTTGGAGTCTGAGGGGCCCCTGTTTTGATAAACTGCCACCCGGCATCGTAACAGAAAAGGCGTTGACTTGCTGGCGATGCACTGCGATGCAACGCGGCCCTGAACAGCACACCAGTTCTCCCCCACGACTATGGATTGACGGACTCCGAGTCCGGCTCCACGACGTGGTCACCAGGGTTTAGGGTTTAGAGCAGAATCATAATGTGACCATCATGGTTTGCAGTCGTCGCTGCAGTGGCATGCCGTGGCCATGGTCATGATTAGGAGTTTCTCGTTTGCCACTGGCCCCGCGAAGGCACTACGCTTACGGCCTGCCCCTCCAGCTTTAGCGTCACGAGGCTCTCTTGGCAGTCTCACTTCGGGCCGTTCTCACTTCCGTCAGGGGTCTGGAGCTTGGGGTTTGATGCCTTTTTTGGGGAGTTCGGTGAAAGCCTGCGGACAAAGCTTAAACCCAAAACCCTAAAACCCTAAACCCCTAAACCCTAAACGCCTGAATTGAAAGACGAAGACGGACTGCTTGCCGCCAGGGCCTCCTCGAGTCCCAGATGGCCGAGTGTCTCGCCGGCAACGCTAAAATAATTACCTGTTTTATTTTGCGGGTTCCGTATTATCATTATATTATAGTGGGCCCCAAAACCCTATTCTGATTATTAAGGCCTGGAGCGTCTGAAGGACAGGCACAAACTGCCAGACAGTCGCTTCGGGCTGAGTTTCTGAGGTTACTCAGCCGGATGACGTGGCCCTCCTCTTGGCCAGCCGTCCCTGCTCGCTGCTGAGGTTACAGTGACAACTCAGCAGTGATTTTCAGGTGCTTGCGAGGTGCGGGGAAAGGCGAAGGGTTGAAGGGACTGAGCTCCAGCTGGGTCATTAGTTTCCCTCCTCTGAGTGTCATCAGCATCCATATCGCAGTCTGGTGTGTTCTTGCTACTCCAAGTGCCAGGCAAGCCTGAAGGAAGGTCCCGGAAGGAATGATGATGTCCATCCCAACCTCCAGACATCTTCGCCTCACTACCCTGTAAAAAGCATGTAGACGAAGGAGAGAAACAGAAATCCCCTACCCTTGGAACCTTGTAGCAACCGTCTAGAAGCTCCGGGCCTGACAAAGCACCCACAAAACTCTTCTAGAAGTCTTTATACAGCACTCACAAAAGTTGTCTGAATCCTAGCAGCTTATACCCCGTATGAAGCTGCACTGCACGGCGCCCATACTCCCGCTGACGCCGTATGAACCGCCCCTCACTAAACTTGGCCAGAGAGCTTCTAGAGGCCCCTCCCGCGGAGCTCCGCTGGATAGCCGGCTCTATGAGGTCATTTTTGAGGGGCTCACCTTTTTGGGGGGCTTAGGGTTTGTAAGGGTTCTATCAGGGTTGAGAAGGGTGTTGGGTTGGGGTTTTTTGTCTAGCCTTTTGCGGATAGAGAAGGGTTTAACGAGGCTTAGGGGTGGGGTTTGGGTTTTGGCTTTTGGGTTTGGGGCATCTTTGGGTTAAGAGTTAGGGTTGCTTCGCTAGGGATTGGGATTCGGTTCTGGAAGCCCGACTTCTCGGAATTCCAGCGGAAAGTGGGCTGAATCGGGATGGCAGCTGCATCGATTTTTTGCGCTGCTACAGAACATATGCCGTTTTCGGGCATGATCCTTTTGTTGCATACTTTTGTGATGCCGACGTGTATAGTAGTCATCAAGAATGGCGTGTTGTTCATCAGAAGATACAGCAGCATCGCAGAATCATGCGTAGCGTCGCGAGGAGAAGGAAGCAGACTTTGTATTGAACGTACTTGCTTTAGAAAGAACTGGAAATAGTCCCTATCAAGTTATCGTAGAGCAACCCGTCCCCCTAGTGCAACTGTTAAGGCACCCAGACAAGACCTGATAAACCCTGCCGGCTCTCTTTATGGAATTCTTAGACAAACCCTACTCTAAGTATATTCGCACCAATAAGCTGTGTACTTCCCAGGCGCGGGACCTCGCAGGACCTGTCTCCGAGGCAGGCCACAGCACGGGGCTTTCATGAAGCCCTCCCATTCTCGTTTTGTCCACTGGTTGGGGATTACGGGTGTTAATGAGGTTTAGGATAAACGGTTGAGGCCAACACCGAAAATCTCACAAGTTTTATGTTTGCCTGTATGTATGTCCGCCAAAATCTGCATGTAAATCGCTGTGTAGGTTGGACTCAGGTGATCCAGCAACATTGCATGACCTGCGGGGCTCTGGCAATCTTGGGTCTATCTCATCACTGCTGTTTGCTGTCGGATCGACAGGGAAGCTTGAGCCTTTGATGTGCTTGAACGCTGAAGTTCCGACTGTGCTCCTCTGGGGAAAGTCTTCGAGGCTTGGGCTCAAGACCTGAGTGCCAGGCCCAGGCGATGCAGATCTCGACGACCAGGCCCAGTCTTGGCGAAAGCCAGGGCCGAAATGGGTAGTTCTCTAAATTGGGGTTCCTTCTTAGGTCCCAAATTTAGTACCGCACCCTTATAAAAAGTACCCAAAAAGGGACCCTAATTTGGGCCCCCTTATAAAGAGGACCCCAAAAGCGACCCTAATTTGGGCCCCCTTATAAAAAGGACCCAAAAAGGGACCCTAATTTGG